AAAAAAAAAGAGCTAAAGTTTCGGTTTTGTACCGAAATAGTAGAACCAGAGGAGAGCATTGTCATTTTGGAAGCGTTGAAATTATACGAAACGAAGTGAGTAATCTGGTAATAAACAAACTTGTTTAGGTCTAGATGTTTGGTCCGCTACTACTCAGACCTAACAAAGAAAAGCAGAGTTCTCCTTGGGACCAAATTGTTTGCAATTTTTCCATAGAAAAAAAGCACCAGAACAAAGAGCTCGAGCTCTCCGATGAAACCAGCACCAGAAGAAAAAGCTCGAGCTCTCTGATGAAAACAAAGTCCATACCAAGCATCAGAGCCTAGTAACGGTCGAGGTCTAGTCATGTTACAGATCGACACAGTGGTGATCATTGGTATTACTGGGCTTATAATTAGACTACAAACAGTCAGCTTCCATATCCCTGTACACAACTTTAGTTGTTATTATTCAAATTCCTCTGGGTAAACAAAGATCAATACAGAACCGCCATAGGCATCAAGTTTTATTGTTAGCTGCTTAACACAAACATCACCCACAGAAGCCTCGAATGATGCTACTCGTTTACATGTCAGTATTGTATAAGTAACAAGTGTACAGTTCAAATGATACAGGAGCCTTTACAATGATCAGTAGACGGCCTACAGTGGGTGGTCTCTGCGCGCTTTTATAGGCGCCACCGACCATCGCCCGCCGCTAAGTACGTAAGGGGTGGTCTTTGGCATGAGGTGGCAGCATTTCTATGATTGCAGGCAAAGTATGCATGCGAGAGCGACGTCTTCACGAAGACCATCATGGTGAACTGTGACGGCGTCAGACGGTTCCTCCCACCCCTCCCATTCAATTCAGTTTTTATGATTCACTAGTACATTGCTATATTCTGCGTTGAGAACATGCATCAACATAAATTGCGCCACAATTCAGAGCCACCCACTCATTCGAGCCCCTTCACACAGACAGAATGAATGAATGCGTTTGACGTAGAATACCAAGCAGTTAACAGCCAAAAAAACCGAAGTACACTACCAGGGAACATTTTGGGATCCCGATGAGCGGTACCAGACATGGAGGACAGGGATATTTAAAAATCAATTTAGACAAAGACATTTTGAACAGAACAAGAGCTATATAGCGTGTCATGCTATATAGCCTTGTCACAGGTCGTAAACTGCCAGGGATGGTTAGGGAAGCTTTCCATTTGCTACTTTGAAAACATGTCGTTAATGTTATTTTTCGCATATCCACGGAAACCTGGTTAATTGATTGTCGCTGTAGGACCTTAAGGCCAAGAAGATTGTCAGAACACAATTCATACCGTAGAAACTATGATACAAGTTACCTTTAATATGTTGTAGCAAGTGCAGAGTTGTGGGGGAAAAGTGCAGGGGGAGGGATAATTTGGACGAGTTCATTTTCTTTTCTCCACCGGGAATGAACTTTCAAAATCACCTCGCTAGAATTAATGTTTTTTGTGAAAAGTCGATAGGAAAAGACTCCCCGAACCCCATAGCGATATGCCGCTTTTACATGCCCCTTTTCGTTCCCATAGTCACGCACAACCACAATATACCATAGAAAGACATGCATGAATTCATCCCGTCTGTATTGTGCTACTAGTAATTCAATANTCTTGTAACCGAGTTACTAAGAGTTAGAGTCGAAAGCTGTTTTGTAAATGCTGTCCCAAAGGCTCATTAGAACTGAAACGCTGCAATAACAATAAAAAAGCATTCAGTAAGTTTAATTCGCCCTCTGGACCACTGAAGCAATTAAATTTTCAAAAACCTCCTAATGAACTTCTGAAGCCTCTGGCTATGTCGTTAGCTTTGTCATAGAAAATTTGATGCCAGCTGAGGCCCGGCTACCTAGAGGACGTACCGAGACTACTTGATGTGAATGTACTGGTAACGGACTAAGAACGGATTGCGTGAAAAAGAAAACAACATAAAATAGGAAAGATGTAAACTTTAGGGAGAATTTGAAATGAGAAAATCATGTCATCTATGAACGGAACTGGACAAAGCCTTAAGCTGCTGGAACGGCAGGACAAAAATCATCTGAACTGTCAGTGCATCCAGCGAACTTACTGGAACCTGGGCCGATTTTTAGCTGAATGTGGCTTATTTTATGAAACAGATATATAGAAAAATTATAAAAAAAGCACATAGTCCAGTTTCCCAACTCTCTAGCCAATGGTTTTCTACTAAATCGTATCCAATGTTTGTAGGAGCGGCTTTGTAGTATAATGTAAAAAGATGGCACCTCTATCGTATAAAAAACACGTCCTGCGCTCTATCTAGGACCATCAAACTTGAAAAAAATACAAACTTGTGCAATCACTTGTAACACAGCTTAAAGGTGGTTTTGATTGAGTAAGAAGACGAAAAAAAACATGAAAAATAGCAAGAAATTTATAGCAGCTGACAAGAAGAATTACTTATGCAGAACATACTCCGTTGTTACTTGTCAATTCCAATGCCACTGAATTAGGATGTGTGCGAGTTTCAAGTTATATAATTGGCAAGCTCTCCCCACCCATTTCATTGGCATCCACAAATCGAGAGCACCACTACATATTTCAGCTAAATGGACAGCACGTTGATGAGATTCAGGGGATACTTTCGGAGTAATTCATTTCGAAGCACAGTTGGCATAATGAAATCGACTTGCGTGTTGGTTTTAAAAGCGATTTTTCATCTTTGCCACTGACCCGAAAATCCAAATCACTACAAGCCTTCTAATGTCAAACACGGATCCGTTAAATTTACAAAACCATGGGAGTAATATCATCTTGTGCGAGTTCCTAAGACCCTCCTCTATCGAGGCAAGCTCAAGGTGCTCAGCATCTTCTTCAAGCCCGAATTTTTGTATCTGCTTTTGCTTCACTCACTAAAGTCCGAAGGTCCATCTCTAGCAGCGAGCAGGGCGTTAATTGTAAGTAATATGTCAGTTACGAACTGAGAATTCCTTAAAAACACATCTTCAAAAAAACCTCCTGAAAAAGAGGCTGAAACTGACAGCTTGGCCCTAAAGGTCCTTGAACGTTGACACCTTTCTGAGGAACATCATCAACCCTGAGACCGTTTCCATCATGAGAATGAACCATTATGAAACTTTATACAAATAAAAATAATTGTTCACCGCAGTGAACCCTTGCATTCGAATTTCACAGGAGACTTTAGGGCTCCAAAAATATCCTTAATTCCTAAAAATAATATGCAGAAGTGGTCAATATTCCCGACAGAGCCTTGCTATTCCAAAGGAAAGGAAACGGCAAAAAAAAAGACTCTGCAAGAACGGAAGACCGGAAAAGCTCGGACAAGAAACTCGATCTCACCAATCCAGACGGAATCGCTACTTTCAACTGGAGCAACAGCCTCCCGACTAGTACGTAATTCCAGTAAAATGTGATTAGCGAAAACCAAAAAGGAACTCGTCACAAAGGATGAGGAAGTCAACGCGCAACACGTTGATTCAGACACACACACACACACATTGTGCATGCATTAGCACTCCTTTACACAGAAATTTCATTAAGGGGGGTTCGACCTTTTTTTGTGATGGGATGCTGATGTCCACAAAACAGATATTCTATTTGTACCGGAAACGCTTAGCGAAACTGCGGAGGCGTTTTGCAAATAGCACGGGAGGGGGGATGAAATGTGGGAAAAACCAGTGCAAAGTACTTGCAGTCACGCAGTCGTTTCCAATGTTTTGTTTCCCATTTAACTTCTATTCGAAAGCCATTGAGAACTATTAGATTTGCAGTTTGCAACAAAGTAGCTACTATATTTCAGGAAAATACAATTAACTTTTTTAAGAAAAAATAAATTTCCATCCGCAACCACAAAATATTCAGGTATCTGGTCTGTCGACTCAATTACGTTATAAAGCGGATATTTAATATTTTAAAAAAACGTTCAAAATATTCAGAAAAATATGCAACTACTTTGTTGCCAACCTAACTGTTCCATCGTCATTACTAATTTACTAATTACTACTCTAAATGGATCTATCGAAACGGTACAGTGCACATGAATGCTTACTTAACACTTATAAATGATTTCTGAGATTGGGCGAGCTTTGGAAGTCGCCGTTCCTCTAACTCTGCCAGGCAATCTAGAAGAGAATCGTCACGGGGAAGAAAAAACGGGCAAGTTCGACCCCCTTGGGGTCCACACCCCAAACAGTAGCGGAAAGGGTAAACTAAGCAGGCCGGGCTTCAAACTGGCACTTCAGAGGAAGGTCAATGGCAATGGCAGCTTGATTTAGATTGCAATCTTTTTCCCTTTAGTTACACTAACAGCGTTTTCTCCGGAACAATGAACGAGGAGAGAATAGAAACCGTGAACGCTAAT